GGAGTGCAGAAAAGGCCATATTTCTTCCCTCCCTTCTTTCCTCCCTCCCTCCCTCCAGTTCTCCCTCCTTTCCTTTTCTTCCACCTTCCTTTCTGTATTTCTCGTGAGAGTGGGTGGAGGTGGAGATTTGAGCTGATGGGCAAGGGAGTGGGAGATTGCATCTTGAGGTGGAGGAACACACTCCTTGCATGGGTTGGAGGGGTGGTCTCTCAGCACCAGGAGAAATGGTGGCCTTGGATGGGGGCAGGGGGAGACAGAAAGGTTGATAATTCAGTTAAATTTAGTAAACATTGCTAGGGGCAGGGGTCCTTGTCCTTCGAAGGTCACAGGAAAGTGGGGCAAAGGGAAGTGATTGATTTAGCATCAGGTGCATGATGGGAGTGTGGGGTACAGAGAGAAAAATGCCCAGGTCTGCCTGGAAAGGAGATGTAGAGGTGGAAGATGCTGTAGGCTGCCCTTGTGGGCATGGAGGGGTGAGCAAACTTGGCCTGTTGAGGGATGGCTGAATAGCTGGGGGTGGGCATGGGAAGGGGTGTGGAAGAATGAAGAAAGATGGATTAGTCGGGTGGGATCAGCAGTCTGGATGTAGGAATCTGGACTCTTTGCCGACACATACCTGCAAATCAAACTGCAGTTGACACAGAAGGAGTCTTTGGACAGGGCCACTTGGGATATGCAACATTAGGGTGTGTTAGTCAGTTTCCTGTTACTCTGACAAAAAATACCAGAGAAAATCAACTTGGGCTGGGGATATATCTCAGTTGGTAGAGTGCTTGCCTTGCATGCACAAGGCCCTGGGTTCAATCCCCAGCACCACAAAAAACAAAACAAACAAAAAGCTTTGAGAAAATCAACTTAAAAGGAGGAAAGGTTTATTTTGAGTCATAGTTTCAGTCTACGATCAGTTGGCTCTGTGGCTTTTGGGCCTGTGGTGAGGGGGGTCCATTATGATGGGGAGCATTTGGCAGTGCAGAACTGCTCACCTCATGGTGGCCAGGAAGGAGAGAGAGAGAGAGAGAGAGAGAGAGCAAGGGTGAGCAAGCAGTATCTCAATATCCCCTTAAGGGTCCACTCCCGCCATGACCTAAGGTCCTTCCACTAGGCTCCACCTCCTGAAGGTTCCACCCCACCCCTCCCCAATAGCACCACAGACTGGTGATCAAGCATTTAGCACCTGGCCTTTGGGAGACATTTAATATTCAAACCATGACAGAATGTGACTTGCCTTTTGCCTTACTGAGTCTGAATTGCAGGTAGGGAACCCTCAGGGGATTATAAAACATAATGATAGACCCTAAAAAAAGAATTTGGGGAGTTGAATGGGGCTCTGTTGCCTTCAAGCCATGTAACATTGGACAAGTCACCTGACTTCCCAAGGCACACCTGTTTCTCTGTGGAGCTCAGCATTTATACCAGGGACCCAGCAGGCAGCCTGGACTCTGCTCTATCCAGGGACGCCCACTCAGATCAGCCTGTACTTCCTACCCAGGCTGGCCTGTTAGAACTCTGACACATTCACAGGCTTCAGGTTCAAAATGCAGGTTCCAGTCCTGGCTTTGCCATCTCCTGGCTGCATAATAACCCTGGGCTACTAAGTAAGGCTCTCTCTTTTCTTAGCTGTAGAATGGGAATAATGAAGCCTGCTCTCAGGCCACTGTCTGTTAAGAAATAAGACTTGCCACCAGCTTTTTCCCTCTAGCCAGCACCCCTCAGCAAGGGATGGGGAGGCCACTTCTTCCTAGTTAGCCAAACTCTGCTACCCAAGGGCAGGAGGTGCCTGCATTTTGGTGGCTTCAAGTCTTTGTGAAAGTCCCAAAACTCTTACACATTTTCAATGCTCCCTAAGGAGAGCAAACACCACTCTCTTTAGCTGTTTCAACTTGAGATACATTTGTTGAATGCCAAGGATGTGCAAGGAGGCACTCTGGGTTTGCGCTTGAAAGCAGAGATGTTTGTATTGTAGAAGCAGCCACTGCCCTGGAGACAGGAAAACAGACTTTCTGTCCCACCATTGCATAAATCATTTAATCTTTCTCTGATTGGAGTCTACGTCTGAACCAGACATCTGTGTTTCAGGCCATGACCATGTTTCCAAAGGACTCTGAGTTGAGGATGGAATGTACTGGAGAGGAATGGAGAAAGTACTAGGGGAGTTCAAAGAAGGGATAGACTACGTGCAGTCTGGAGATTCAGGGAGGGTGGCTTAGAAGAAGCAGCATGTGAGCTAGCCCTCAAAAACTGGGTAAGAGCTGGACTTGGAAAACCAGTAATAACCACTGATCAAAGACTGACTATGCGCCAGGCACTGAACTTGTCAATATGTACATCATCTCTTGTGGGCCTCACAAAGCGCCAAGAGGTATGTGTTATTACTTCTATTATGTAGATGAGGAGACTGAGTGACTTTCCCAGAGCTATAGTGAGTTACTAACTGTATCAATGAGCTATTGCTGCATCATAAACCAGCCCAAAACTCAGTGGCTCAGAACAATAGCTATGGACCTGTGAGTCAGTTGGGGGTTGGTTGGTCTGGGATGGTCTTGGATGGAACACCTAGACTTCCATGTGGACTCCCATCCTCCAGAAGGTAGCCAGGCTTGCTCTCATGGAGGAGGCCAGGCTTGGTAGGAAGTATGCAAGGCCTTCTGCAGCCTAGGCTCAGAATGCCACATCATTACTTCTTCCACATTCTGTTGGCCAAAGCAAGTTACAAGGCCAGCCCAGATTCCAGGGAAAGGGAAGTGGACTCTACCTCTCAGTGGCAGCAGCTGCGAAGTCACATTGCCAAGGACACACTGGTGCAAGGAGATGTACAGGCTGCACCATTTTTGATCTCTGTCTAGTACAATAGCAGAATAGGGTTGGTCCCTGGTCTAGTTGACTCCAAGCTTTCTTTCTGAAAGGGTTCACTTCTTCCAGGGAGAAGGAAAACATTTAGAACACAGAGAAGAGCATGAGGAAAGGAAAGGAAGCACAAAGCTCATGATGTGTTGGGACACACTCCCCGGTTCCCTATAAATGCTGTGTGGAAGGTGTGAAGGGCTAGAGTGGAGAGAAAGGCAGGAGAGGTTGGTTAGGTCTGACCCTGAATGTAAGGTAAGCTGCCTGGGCTTCATCCTGCATATTTTGTGGGAAGCCATGGGATTTTTTTAAAAGTCAAATTTATAGTAGTATAACTTACATACAATAAAATTCACCCTTTTAAAGTATACAATTCTATAAATTTTGACAAATGCATAGAGCCATGTCACTACCACATGGAAGAAAGTTCCCTTGTGCTGTCTGTGGTCAACCTACTCCTATCCCAGCCCCTGGCAACTACTAGCATGATTAGTATCCAGAGATTTTTGCCTTTTTCAGGGTGTCATATAAGTGGAATCATTCATACGTAGACATTTGTGTCTTTTCCTTTCATTTTACATGATGCTCTTGAGATTCACCCAGGTTTTATGTGTCAGTAGTTTATATGTTCCATGCTGAGTTGGAGTCCAATGAATGGATATGCCACGGTTTATTAATATGCTCTAAAGTAGAGGGGAATTTGCAGTGTTTCCAGCTTGGGCAATTTTTAATAAAGTTGATACAATAATAAATAGCTATGTACAGGTCCTTATGTAGACATGTTTTTGTTTCTCTTTGGCATATATCTCAGAGTAGGATTTCTAGGTCATTTGGTAAGTGTATGTCTAGCTTTGTGAGAAACTGCCAAACTATTTTGAAATGGCTGTACTGTCTTGTATTTGTACCAGCGATGTCTGAAGGTTCTAATTGCTCTGCCTCTTGTCATCACTTGGTATTGATAGTGGTTTTTTTTCCTAATTTTAACCATTCTAATAATGTGCTTCATTATGGTTTAAATTTGCATTTCTCCAACGACAAGATGTTGAACATCTTTTCATGTACTTCCCCATCTCTTCTTTGTTCAAGTGTTTTAAAATCTTGTGCACATTTTAAAAATTGGGTTGCTGATTGTATTAAGCTTTGAGAGTTCTTTATAGATTCAGGACACACGTCCTTTCTCAGATATGTGTTTTGCAAATATTTTCTCCCATTCAGAAGGATTTTAATGAGAAGTAATACTGTGCTTTAATAAGTTTACTCTGTGGCATTATTGGGTGGAGAATGGAGTGGGGAGAAATAGAGAGAAGGGGAGATGGGCTAGGCCAGGGGAAGTGGGGATGGCAGGGAGGAGTGAAGAGACAAAGAGATGGAGACCCACTGGATAGCAGGAAAGGCCCCCTTTACCCAGTGAACCCTCCTTCTCTCCTTCTCACTTCCTTCCTTTGGTAAATATTTGTGGAGCACTTACTAAGCATCAGGTGATGATCTAGGCATAGGGGAAATACCAAGGAAGAATCCACGTCCTTCCTTCACAGAGTTTGCCTCTTGATGGGGAAGACAGATAATCAACAGGGACATAGGTGTGTAAGGCTCACTCGGGATGCTCTTTGACACACAGCCAGGGGTTCCTGTGGGAATGCCATCTTCCTATTGGCTCATGGGAAATGGACCAGAGTCCTCAGAGGTTCACTCCCAGGACAGAATCCAAGCAGAAAAAGAAATGTGGGACTGAGGTCAGGAGCCCTGGGCCTGGATTCTGACCTTCCCTCTGATCTGCAGGTGACCTCAGGCAAATTCCCTCTTCTCTCTGGCCCTTGGTCTCCCTCTCAGGGTTGGCCTAGATGTTCTTTCAGGTGCTATGGATTTTTTAATTTGAAGTTTTTTTTTTTTTTTGGTTATTTAAATTTGAAGTTCTTACAAACAGACCTCAGTGCTCTGATGAGTCCAATAGGTGCAAAGTGGAGGGACCTCCTGAGGATCAGGTCCTTTCATTGGTAAAGGTCTCAAGGTCATCAATTTTGGCCCCTCATCCAGTGTGGGATCTCGGGGAAGAACAACCGACAGGGACCTATTCATTTCTTGGGGTGCCCCTCTAGGGATGGGGGGCCCACTCCCTTCCAAGGGATTACTGCATTATGACTTTCTCTGTCTTTTTAAAGGGAAAGGATCACACCTTTTACAAAGGGCAGGTGCCCTCCAACTGTGGATTATAATTCAAATCCTACTCCTTAAAGCTGCGTGGGAAGAACAGCTATGGTGACTGGAGGGCCCAAAGCCTGAAGACAGATGGTGGGTGGGAGGATGGGAGTGGGATCAGGGGTCTTGGAGAAAGGGTTCACGAGAATGCCTGGGATAAGGGAGAGGTATGGAGGGATCTCCTTCACTGGAGCCATATCCCAATGTCTTTTGGGACAGCAAGGGCCAGTTATCTTTTGTTACAAGAGATCAATTGTCCTGAAAAATGCCAATCAACCAGTAACAGGAATATGGGAACCACACAGCAGAATGACCCCAGGGGTGGGATGTGGGTGAACCCTGAAGCCCCTTTTATTCTAAAGCCAGAGTGCTGGTTCCTGCTCTTTAAAGTCCAAAAGGAGGTGGGAGAGTGTGGCATATATCAATGGCAGACCTGGGCCCCCTCCAGGAGTACCCCATCTCTATCCCTGGATGCTTCTGGAAATTCAGCAGGGCTTCATGCCAGGAGGAGACTGCTGACCTTCAGGCAATGTCCATCCACTGGGGATGACCTGCTCCTCCCCCAGAGGCACCCCTGTGCGCACCCTGGTTTAGCCCAAAGCTGTGTCTGTGGGGGCTGGTGACAACATTCCGAGCTTCTTCCCTCACTGTTTTTTGTCAGTGAGGGTCGGATGGGGTGGGGGAGTAGGTTCCTAGTAGGCTGGGACCCCAGAATGAGCCACAAAACTTATGTAACAATAAAATATATTCCCAATGCTTCCTTCAGAGGGTGTCTTACAGAGAGCAGTTGCTTTCTCAACCTTGTCAGACGGCAGTCCTGGAAGAAGTCAGACCATCTTTATTCACGGACAGCAAGATCAGCTCCATAAAAAGTCCTCCTGAATCTTCCAAAAAGCTACGAGGTCCAAGAAGTCAGTTTTGTAAGATTACAACAAATAAGATCAATCTACCCAAACTGTTTTCCTATACTAGCAACACACAACAAAAAATTGGAAATTTAAAATACAACTTATATGGCATAAAACTATGAAACACTTAGTTTGAATTTTGACAAAAGAGATACAAGGTCTGTACAGGGAAAGCAATTAATACTGCAGGGACATTAAAGAAGACCGAAAGGGAGAGATACCACATTCATGGGCCACAAGATTTGATATGGGTGTTAAGCTGTTTTCCCCAAATTAATCTATGGATTTAATGCAATGCCAATCGAAACCTCAGTGACCTTTCTGTAAAAGTTGACCAGCTGGAGCTGGGGGTGTTGCCTAGGGAGGCCCTTGGTCTGATCTCTAGCATTGCCAAAAACAAATACCCGCAGACTGACAAGCTGATAGCGAAACTGATAAAGAAATACAAAAGACATAAAATATCCAAAATAATTTAGAAAAAGAACAACGCTGTAGGACCAACCTTATCTTATTTCCAGACTCATCATCACAAAGCTATAGGAACCAAGACAGTGGAATTGGTGCCAAGATAGATCAAAGGAACAGAGCAGAGAATCCAGGAACAGGAGATATGGACAACTGCACTTCAACAGTGGTGCAGAGTCAACTGGGGGTGGGGTGGGGATCTTTTCATCAAGTGTGCTAGAACCATTGCATACTAATCTGCAAAAAAGTGAACTGTGATCAGCAAGTCCCCTCATGGACAGAAACTAACTCCATCTGTGATACTCAGAAGTACAGTATATACTTGGTTTTCCTCTTATTTCATGACTCACAGCTCCCAAAACCCTGGGAACCTCCAGAGTGATGTCTTTCATATACTAATTAGATGACTGGTCTCTGAGGACCCTTAGATAGCTTTAGGGTACAGAATTGTCACCAGAAAGACCCAGGCCTGTTTAAAGAGTTGAAACCTTTAATCCCACACCTCTGAGGAGGGGAAAGAGGCTGAAGGTTGAGTTGATCACTAATGGCCAAGGATGCAGCAATCATGCCTAGTAATGACCCCTCATAAAACCCCAGACAGGCTAGGTGTGGGGAGCTTCTAGATAGCCGAACCCACAGAGGACACCCAGAGAGAGCAGGGAGGCTCCCCCTCTTTCCCACATGCCCTGCCCTCGTCATCTCTTCCATCTGGACTGTTGATCTGCACCCTTCTTTATAATATATAGAAGGGTAAATATATGAAAAGCATTCTTTATAATATATGGGTAAATATATGAAAAGCATTTCCCCGAGGGCTGTGAGCCATCCTAGCAAGGCAACTGATCCCAGGATCCCACACATCTGGCATCAGAAGTGTTGAGTGGCGTGTGAGAGGAGGAATGAGCTGTTTTCCCCTCTAGATCACAGACCTAAATGTAAGACCTTAGCTGTGAAAATTCTAGAAGAAAACACAGGAGGAAAACCTTTGGACATTATGTGAGGCAAAAAGTTCTGAGATGCAGATTTAACTTTTTAAAAAAAAAAATAAATCATACATATTGTTAAATTGGACTTAATTGAGATTTTTTTTTTGTTCTTTCAAAGGTGCTATTAAAAGAATGATAGGTCACAGGTTGGGAGAAAATATTTGCAAATCATATATCTGATAAAGGACTTATATTCAGAATATGAATATATATATATATATACACACATACATATATATATGCATATATATTTTAAAATATATATATATTTTATATATATATATAAAATATATATAGGCTGGGGTTGTGGCTCAGTGGTAGAGCACTTGCCTAGCATGTGTGAGGCATTGGGTTTGATCCTCAGCACTGCATATAAATAAATGAATAAAATAAAAGTCTATCAACATCTTAAAAAATTAAAACAAAAGAAACAACAAAATGAAAATTTACAGAAGATATAATAGATACTTTACCAAGAAGATAGATGGCAAATAAGCATATGGAAAGAAACCTGAACTCTCATTAGTCATTAAGGAAATGCAGGTGAAAACCACAATGAGCTACCGCTGCCCGCCCATTAGTTTGGCTAAAATGAAAAAGGCTGACCCTACCGAGGCTGGAGGAGGACGTGGGGTTCTCATGTAGTGCTGGGGGACATGTGTAATGGTACACCTCCCTTGGAAGACAGGGTAGGAAGAGAAGGAGTGAACCCTAACCCCATCTGACCCCGCTCTTCCTCTTCCAGGTGTTTGCTCAAGAGAAAGGAAAGCATATGTCCATGCAGACTGTTCACAGATGTCTTTGGCTGCTTGATTTCTAAGAGCCCCAAACTAGAAACAAGCCATCCATCCATCAGCCGGTCAATTAAGAGACATCAGTGGTGGTTTTTACCCATACACATGTCAAGACTCAGCCAGTTGATACCTTCAGCATGTGCAATTTATCATATGCTAGTTGCACCTTGGTAAACAACTGCAATTTGAGACAAAAAAAGAAAAAAAAAAAGAAAGAAAGAATGGGCAGGTGCGATGTAGGATACTGGATAGGATTCTGGAAAGAAATTATGGGGTTAAAGTTGGTGAAATTCAGATACGGTCAGTGGTTTAGTTGACAATGTTATGTAATGTGAATTTGTGGGTTTTGATAATTTTGCTGTGATCATGTAGCCAGTGTGAACATTAGGAGAGGGTGGGGGAGAGGGGATGTTGGAACTCTGTACTATCATTGCAGCTTTTCTGTTAAGCTTAAACTAATTCAAAATAAAAAATATATTCAATAAAACTTTTGTTAAAAGACAGTTTACCTTATAGAATGAGTACATTTCTTGGAATGAATCTGTCAACTATCATATTACTGATAGTCATTGACCCCATGGAGGTCAGCAGATTTAGAATACTCACTTTTATATAAGAGAAGACTGTGTAACAACTTGCACTTAGTTCTTTTAAGTATTTTTCTGGAGATAACCAATGAACTTGCATGTTGTTCTGAAAGTCATGTGTGCTGGGGAGGAATGCCCACCTATGAGTGCAAAGGTTGGCTGGCTGCCAGGTCAGGTTTATCAGTGTGGAGGCTAGAGGCACCACAACCTCAGGGGCTGCCCTCGGTGTATCTGACACCCAGCTCCCTCAGCCCCTGAGGGGTACAATTTGAAGTGCATGTTTTACATTGGCTTCTGAAGCTTTTCCCATGCAATTAAACTCTAGTTGCCCAGTGGGTAACTGATCCTGTACCCATTACTGGTTGTCATCCCATCCCTATTCCTCTTCTGCTATTTTCTTCACCTCCCAAATAAGCAACTTGCCCTTGAATTCTTTTCTCAGGGTCGACTTCTAGGGAAACCTAAACCAGGACAAATGCTAATATTTATTCTGGCATCATTCCGGTGGATCATCTTGCACACCTCTGGATTTGGTACCTCATTTTGAAGACCATTGTTCTTCTCCCTGACAATCATTCCATCTTCCAGTCTATCCTCTCACATTCCCCAGACAGCCTCTCTCATCACAGAGAAGCAATGATTGTAGTGTCCTTTGATGTTGACTTGAAATCTTGCTCCTGTGACCTTTGCCCTTTTGCTTGGGCAAGGCCAGAAGAGGACACGAGATGTGAGGTTTATTAACAGGGCCCTGCTGAGGCCTCTAGTACCCCTTGGGGAAGGAGGGCACAGGGGCTGGACTTCTGGCTCTACCCTGCTGGAATCAAAGAAGTTCCATGTTGGTTATACAGTGGACTTTTCCTAAAAGCATTTGTTTGGAAAAAAAAGAGTTCTATGGCCAATAAATAATAGATGCTAATAGCCACCTATTCTAGTTTGATCTTTTAACACAGTTCTGTAGAAGACTGGGTTGAACACTTGGGCACACAAATCTAATAAAGTTAACATAGTAGGTTCTAGCACCTCCCCAGCTGGTCAGGAAGGTAGCACTTTATTCCACTCCAGTGTGAGATCCTGCCATGTTGTGAGAAGCTCTGAGCAGGACACAAGTTGCCTTTCCCAAGCCACCAGACCTAACATCCAGGTTCCTCATTAGGCTTCCCGCACTGTCCTGCCACACAGACTGCAGGTACTAAAACAAGGAGCGGGCATCACACTCAGACAGTCTTGCTGCAACCAGGTCCTGGTGAGCAGCTAGTGGGTGTGGCAGGTGGGCATTGGCCATATTGTGGCAGCACCAAGAATGAATGGCATAGCTGCTCACTTGACAAGGAGAAACCGAAGCCCAGAGAAGGACCCCATTTACCTAGTTGACACAGGGTTAGTGCTTTAGTAAACATATAGAACAAGGTTTTCCTTGGCTATGTGAGGGTCTTATCAGTTTCTGAGGGCAATGGTTCTGACACCAGTGTCTTATTTGGCTTTATATTCACAATCCACAATATTCCAGCAACCAGGGTAGATGAGAGGAGTACTGTTCTAGGACCCAGGGTCACAGGCATGCTAGGCAAGTGTTCTACCACTGAATTACATTCACAACCCTTCTTATTTTTTATTTTGAGACAGGGTCTTGCTAAGTTGTCCAGACTGGGCTCAAACTTGGGATCCTCCTACCTTAGCCTCCTGGGTGGCTGGGATCTTCAAAGTTGTTGGCTGCTGGGTATGTGTCCTGGTCCCGAGTCAGTGCAGCCTCACTGCTGGCCCTGCCTGCTGTGGTCCTTCGGCCCTGCAGGCAGTCTCACTCATTGAGCTTGACCCTACAAGTCCTCCTTAGGGCACTCTGTGTGTGTCCTGGGTTCCATTATCCACTCCCTCTTCTTAGATCTGCTACAGTATTGGCCAAGGAATGGGGATTCAACAAGAATGGAAATGAGTGGCTGGGGTGTGGGGAGGATCTCAGAGATGCAGAGATTCCAAAGCATGAGAGGTGAGTGTGCTGAGGCCAGAGAGAGCTGAGGGATGAGGCCCTTTCCTGCTGAACTTGCAGTTGGGAGGGTGTCAGGAACAGAGCTATCTAAGTGGTGTCTGACAGTTGGTTCTCAAAACGGAGCACCTGTGATAGTTAAGGTTATATGTCAGTTCACACCATAGGGTGCCCAGATCCTGGAGCAAGCATTCTTTTGGTTGTTCTATGAGGGCATTTATTGCTCCTCCCTAGTGTGGGTGGGCTTTATCCAGTCCACTGAAGATCTGAATACAAAGACTGAGTGAGGAAACCCCTCCTGCCTGACTACTGGAGCCCAGGCTTCAGTCTTTTCCTGCCTTTGGACTTGAATGGAAACATTGGTTCTTCCTGGGTCTTGAGCCTGCTGGCCTTGGATTAGAACTACAGTATAGGCTCCTCTAGGTCTCTACCCTGATGACTGTAGACCTTGGAATGGTTTAGCCTCTGTAATCATGGGAGCCGATATCTTATAACTCTCTGTTGTGCTTGTTCTCCGGAGAACCCTGACTCTCATAACACCAGAGCAAAACAGGCCCTGATCTGTAGTGATTGCTTGTTCTCCGGAGAACCCTGACTCTCATAACACCAGAGCAAAACAGGCCCTGATCTGTAGTGATTGCTAATTTCTGTGGTATAGACAAATGTTTTCATGCTGTGGGCATCACTGAGCACAGAGGTGGGAGAAGGTATGTACAGTGGCTCTTGAAGACAATTTAAAGCAGCCCAGCACACCACTGTCCCCTTCTCCACACACCTTCCACATTGCTCCCACTGAGGAGTCAGACTTGGGGTTTGTGGGTGAGGCTTCTGGGAGTTTCAAGGTCATGCATGGGAGGGCTCTTCTGCCTACAGCTCCACAAGGTTGGGGAGTGGACATGCTGCTGGCCTGACCACCTTGCTCTTCCACCCTCCTGCATGGCTGAGTTGACAGCAAGACAGGGTAGTCCCCTTGCTCCTTTCACAGGTCTCAGTGCCAGGTCCTAGGCTTCAGGTCAGGAGCCCACTGCTTCTAAGATTCAGGATTGGAACTGGAGGAGGACACAGCAGTGTGCAGACTGAAGTGCAAACCCAACCCATCAAGGCCTCTGGTCTGAGCTCTTGGGCATCAGCCCAGTTAGCAAGTGGTTCAATTTAAAACAAAAAACATTCCTTGGATCTGCTCCATAGGAGGCCCATGGGGAGGTGGGGTGATGGGCAGAGCCAAGTTCAGCTCTTTCTGAGTCACTTGGCCCAACAAAATTAACATCATCAAAAGGTCACCTCCTGGAGCTCAGCAGGCCTCGCAATCCTCCTCCACACAGCACAGTTAGCTGCCGTCATCAGTGGCCATAGGATGCTACCTGTGGGCCATATCAACACTGGGACACAGCCGAGAAGCATGTTGTTGAAATGCATTCCATGTAACTTGCATAGTGGTGTGTGATTTTTCTTTTTTTGGTACCAGGGATTGAACCTACAAAGTCTTAATAACTGAGTCACATCCACAGCCCTTTTTGTTTTGTGCCAGGGTCTCCCTAAGCTGCTTAGGGCTTCACTAAGTTGCTGAGGCTGGCTTTGAACTTGCAAACCTCCTGCCTTAGCCTCCTAAGCTGCTGGGATTATAGGCATGTGCCACCACCCCTGGTTTGTGATTCTTTCTCTTTGGAAAGCCAGCTATTACAACTCTGGCATGAAGGTCATTATCTGGACACTGCCCTGAGGATTGAGGGTCTGGCTCCCAACAGAAGGAATTGCTCCAGGTCAAAGCAGAACACTCCTTGTTGACCACTAGTGCCTTCCCTTCTAAGCCAAGTCCAGTGCTGTGAACTCTGACTACCTGCCACCCACAGGCTCAGACACAGGCCTCACCTCCAATGGCTTGGGCTCTAAAGTGCTTTGATGGAAGGCTAGTCGATGAGTCTGCATCCTTGCCTAACCCATGAGCAGTCTCAATGTGGCTTTTTAAGCAACTCATTTAAGCTTTCTTGAGCTTCACTTTTCTTCATTTGTAAAATGGGGATAGAAGCTGACCCTTCTAAAATTGTGAAGATTAAATAAGATATTGTGCTATTAAAATGTAAGGTGCAGAGGGAAGTGCTGGGGAGTGATACTGGTCAAATTATGAAGTGACATTGTGTGCATGGACAAATACCCGGTAACCCATCCCACCAATATGTACAGCTATTAAAAAAAAGAGAGAGAGATAAAATGTATTCAAAAATTATGGAAGCTGCAGGCTGTTCTAAGGAATGCTATGGCTTGGATCTGGAATGCCCCAAGGGCCATGTGTCAAAGGCTTGGCTCTATTGGTAGGTGGTGGAACCTTTGAGAGGTGGGAAGTCTTTAAGCCTCTGGGGGACTTGTGTCCTCAGGAGGACTGTGGACCTCAGTCCCCTTCTTCTTTTTATTCCCTGGCTGGTGAAGTGAGGGTCTAGGTCCACCACGATCAGCTGCCTCACCAGAGACCCAAAGCCACAGGCCCAATTGACCATGGACTGAATCTTTTCAAATCTGTGAGCCAAAATCAATCCTTTTCTGACGGTCTCTGGTGTTTTGTTATAGTATAGCTGGAAAGCTGAGAACACAAAGAACCTTAAAGATTTCTCCTTTAAAGAGAATACACAGAATCCAGTTTGTGAAACTGAACCACTGGAAAAGGAATTTCGTAAATGCATCTCTGGAGAGAACTTTTAGAGTAAGATTCACACATCGCATATATTTTAGGAAAATGACCACTATGTATATCCTTGTGTTTGCATAAATTTTTTTTTGCATTAAATTCAACTTTTATATCTATTCATTTAGCCTATGGTATTTGAGGTGAACTACTATACAACCTTGTTGAGGTGGCTCAACTGCCATAGAAGTTTTTCTTGCTCCCATAACTCAGGATAGGGTTTGGGTTGGTGGCCAGTTCTCCATACAGTCACTCAGGGATCCAGTCTCTCTCCAACTGCACCTAAGCCCTGCCTCCTATGCTTGGAAGACTGCCTCTTTCAGGCAAGATGTCATTTTCACCCAGCTTACATTCCACTGGAGAACACTCTTTTCAAGGTCACACCTGACTACAAGGGAGGCTGAGAAACACCATCCAGCTGTGTGTGTACAAAGGGAGGAATGTGCTCTGGTGGACAGCTAATGGTTCCTGAAATAGATGAGGAAAACACTCAACGGGATTAACTAGCTTGTCAAAACCAGTCGGTCACAACCAAGTGATAAAGCCAGGACGGTAGCTAAACCTCCTGATGACTCTGTCTGGTGCCTTAAAAAGGACTGCCCCACCCTGACCTGAGCAGCCCTCCTCTCGCTTGGACTCCAGTCTTTTTTCTGGCCTTGCCACTTGCTCTCCCCACTGCAGCCTATTCTCTACCTGGCAGGGGACCCCAGGAGAGCCCAGTCCAGACCTCACTAGGATGACAGAAATGCAGCTCATCCCCCCATGTTCTTGTTGTCCGTCCCTGGGCACGCAGGTTTGGAGAAGGCATCTGAGGGGCAGAGGAGCATGGCCTGCACCTAAGCCCAGGTGTGACTGTGCATCGTGGTCCCGAGCAAGAGATGACAAAGGCTAGCTTCCAGGCCATACTTTTATTTTGACAGAAGCAGCAGCCCCACAGCCACAGGATGCGTGTTCAAGCAGGCACAGTGTCTGCAGCTGCAAGAGCCTCATAGGGGAGACTCATGCCTTTCTCTTTGGTCCCCACGACCAAAGAAAAAAAAGTAAAAATCACACACCACACAACGCCACACCCATCCCCACCCCTCTCTTCTCTGTCAGTTAACAGTCAACAATTCATCCTTCAAAAGAAACGGGATTTTACATTAAACCTCAAGCAACCAAGAAACCAGGGCCCTGGAGGGGAGAGGCTCACTGTTCCTTTCTACACTCACTGCCCCGTGGCACCAAGTTTAACTCTGCCCAAAGCCACCACATGGATGGACAATGACAGAGCTGGCTACAAGAAAAGCTAGAATGCGGCTCAGCATGCTTGGGAGACGGCCTCTTTCAAGCAAGATGTCTCAGGGGCCAAACATCAACCTGGTGGGATTCCAAAAACCTTCCCTTTGAAGCCCTGGGTTCTGCCTAAGGTCTGTGAAGGGCTGGACTGGGGTTATAGGACTCAGGGTGACATAGGATGCTGGCATCTCTGGCCACCAGTGGCTTTGCGATGGGGCCTCCACTGGTGAAATGATGATACTTTAGCTGCTGGATTAACCTCTCAGGTCAACCATTCATCCACAGAAGTGGAGTCATCAGTTGACACCGAGTGGGGAAGCCCGGGGCCCACTCAGAGCTCAGGCCACAACATGCGGCTTTGCAGACTAGAGAATGAAGGCTACTTTCTTCTGCCTCGCCCAGAGGCCAATGGGTAAGGGTGGCTCCTTTGCCTCCTGAGTGCCACAGCCAGACCTCACAGGACCACATGAAGACACGGCAGTGTGCCAAGGCCTGGATAGGAAGGTCCTTCAGTAAAAGTGTGACAAGATCTCAAGAGGATACTGGCCCTGGAAGGGACAAGACAGAAGCCAGCTGAAGATGAGCCGTTCTGAAAATGAGATGGGAACTGGCCCTGGGGCTGAAGGAAGGACCTTAAATGACGGACAATCCCTAAGGGTCACCTGCCTCATTTATTCTTCCTCTGACTTTCAACACAAATAAGGGTTGGTCCTCATGGGTTTTGCAACCATGGTATCGAAGACAGAAAGGCTCTAGGGAGGTCTTATCTGTTCCAATGTGACAGATGAGGAAACTGCAGCTCGGAGGGACAAATGATTTGCCCACGGTTGCACAGCTCGTTGACGGTAGAGCAGGGACTGAAAGCCAGGCCCCCTGACTCCATCATCATGGCCGTGACTGGCTCAGCTCACAGATCTGGCTTCCCTTTAATAGGTCCTTCCCACATTCTGGGTTTCCAGCTGGGCCAGCAGTTCTCAAAGTGGAGCTGCGTAAACAAACAGGCTTTGATAACAAGGCAGAAGGACCTAGGAAGGTCCCTTCCCTCTGAACGGAAACTGAGCTAACTTTCTCTGAGCTTAGGATTTGTAAGGCACTGAAATTAACTACAGCTGGGGCGGGAGAAAGAAAAAGGGGATTGATGATTGGAGAAATCCAGTTGATGGTCTTTTCTTTCAGCCCCACAGCGAGACTCCTCACAGAAACACAATGATGGCGGACTCCACTTTCCCACCTGTTGCAGTCCACCTGCCCTGATGCCACAGAGCAGCGTGGACCTGCCCCCACCATGCCTAAGTGGGGTCTGCGTACAAGAGGAGGCCTAGGGGGTTGGTGAGCCATGGAGAATGAGCCTGGTGCTCTGGATCCAGTCAGAACCAAGGCCCTTTTCCCCACCTGGGCATACTGGGCTGGGCCGGGCCGGACAGGATCCCAGATGTCTTCTCCAGGAACACAGTCCTCTGAGTGAACTTGGTGACGGCTGAGGTGGACCCACAGGCTTGAGCATGCAGGAGAAAGGGATAGGACATCACCAAGGATGGCAGAGAGAACTTTGGAATCGAACCTGGCTTTGGCACGGCACATCTCGGGCCTGCCCACCCTATGTGTTGCCCTCCTGAGACCCCAGGGGTGGAGAGTAGTCTTCCTTCTCCCCACGAGGAGCTCTTCTGACTGACTCAGGCAATGGCAGTACAACTCCAGGGCGTCCCCTTCATCATTCCAGCCAAACCTGTGCCCAGGGGACCTAACCCAGGTGGCCTTTTTGGACTCAGCTGCTGAATCCAAAGCACTTTAGTCAGAATGACACTGAATGGGAAGCACTAATAACAGCTCCTGCTCACACAGCCCCTTCCATGTGACAGGTGCATGACTTTGAGGACAACCTGCAGGTAGGTATTACTGCCCCTTCAACAGATGAAGAGGCTGGGACACAGAGGGATTAAGTGACTCACCCAGAGTTACACAGCTAATGAGTGGCTAATCTTGAGCCTGGATTCAGGTGTGCCTGATTCCAGATCCCATGTCCTTGCCACCTGATTGGGCTGCCCCTAGAAGCCAGTAGGAAGCGGTCAGGGCTCTCTGGATGGGATTTCTGCAGGGGATTCTTTCTGAAAATGTGGATCTGGGAAAGCAGCCAAGCTGGAGTAAAGGGAAGACGCCGGTCCCTGCCACGTGTCTGTCTCTCCAGGTGGCCCCCCTCAGTGCCTCGCGGCCTTGCAGATCTTGTCGTACACCTCAGGGAAGGCGTCTTGGCAACCGAGCTGCTTGCGCAACTTGTGGTACAAGGAGCCGTCAAACATCTCCCAGAATTCCTCCCGGTTCATGTAGCAGTCGGCATAGAGCATCTGGAATCTGCAGAGGGAGAGAAGCGGGTGAGGGCACGGGTTGATGGCATCCAGAAGGGTGGGAGATAAGAGGCACGTGGGAGAAGCCACAACTCCCCTGGCACCCTGAGACACCTGCTCACCCATGCACGCTCCGGACGAACTTCTCCAACTGCCTCATGCAGGATCTGGCTTCAAAGTGCTTCACCCGCGGCTCTCCATATGCCCCGATGTCGACGTACAGCTCTGCCTCGTCTCCCTTGGGGTGCACCAGGCCTGGCTGGCTGGGCAGGATGAACGGACACAGCCAGATGGGGTAGACCTGAGGAGGCCAGGGAGGAGGGTATTGGTGCTTTTTCTCCAGCAGATGACAGTTGCATGGCTGTAGCCCGCCCCCTCCAGTCCTGCCTAAGACTCCCGACTCCACCACATGAGGCGACCCACCCGAGCGGTCCACAGAGGCTCATCTCCAGGCCATCGCTGAGATAGGCTGAGGCCCCTATAGGCTGGGATGAGCCCCGCATTTTGTAGTTGGGGAAGGTGAGGCCCAGAGGGCAGGCCTGCCAAAGTGGGGCATGTGGCTTAGATAAGACTGGGGATTCGGTGGGACCCCGCCCGGCCCCTGGCTCACGTGGATGTCGTTGTGGAAGGTGAGCAGGGCCTGCCGCAGGCACTTCATGGGCACCAGCATGTCCTGCACCACGTGGTGCTGCTCGTACAGTTTGCGCAGGGTCTCGCCCTGGGTCAGCTTCAGGAGGGAGATCTTGGGAGGCACCATCCAACCAAAGAGGTAGCGGAAGATGGGGTTGTTGCCAAAGGGAATGATATCCTGCAAGATGGAGGCGGGGGTGGAGAGCAGGGTTGAGGGTCCACGTGCATGGATCAGGGCCAGGTCCTTGTTCTGTGCTCCATGTAAGTACTCCATGTACAATCTCCTCACGTGGTGGGGCGTGAGAGCACTTAGGACTTGATCAAGTAGGTGTGGGTTTGATTGTCAGCTCTGACATTTACCAGCTGTGATGACCTTGGGCTAGTTATTTAACTTCTCTGAGCTTAGTTTCCTTATCTGTGAAAAGGGACTTGTGAGGCTAATAAGACATCAAATGGAAGACACTCTGCCCAGTTTCTGGAGCAAAATGATAAGGCTGCTATCATCCCTGTTCTAATAATTGAGGTCAGGGTGGCTGGCACAGAGCAGGCATTCCATAAATGTCTGAAAAATGAATGCTGTTGAATGAGAAGAGCAATACCCAGAGAGCTTAAGTAATTTCCTTCAGGCTACACAGCAGGGAGGGTGAAGCCTGGCTCAGGTTCCATAAGGAGTCCGCTGACTGGCACTTCCCTTGCTCACAGCCTGACGCTTGCCTGCCTTTCCAGCTTAGGGCTGCTGGCCACCCTGCTGAGCAGAAGCAGCCCTTCCTCTTCCACAATGCTGACTGCCAGGAGGGATGAGCCACCTCACACAGTGCTGCTGCTTTCCAGTGATGCCCTCTGCTCCCTGCCAGCCCCTCCAGGGCTCCCATAGCTGGTGATCCTGCCGACCCTAGAGAAGACTTTGGCCCCCTGCCTAGCAATGTTCCTCAATGCTGCAAGTCCTGCCATCTTCCTAAGAGCCTCAGTGCCCGGGGGAATCCCTTGAAGCCATGGCTGCTCCATTCTTTAAACAGTCACAAGGCACCTGTGAGGTTAGGTACCAGGTTCTATGCTGGGCACTGGTGCTACCTGTGGCAATGGAGACATAGGCCCTGTCCTTATGATACTTGTTCCCTCAGGTATGGAAGGAACAGGCCACTGGATTGTGGTGTGGATGAGCTGAGACAAATGGAGACAGAAGCAGCTCATCAAAGAAGCCACACATGCCAAGCACTGAAGGCATGTGAGTCTTCTGCACCCCCTCAAATTATCAGACCATTCTATAAGGTCAGGGACCTATCTGCTTCCTTCTCTGTTGAATCCCTGCGGCTCACCAATGCCTGTACACTGCAAAGGCTCAATAAATTATATATATCTTTTATTGTTTCCTGGGAAGCTTTAAAAAAGCAGATATCCCATTGGACAAAGGTTAAAAAGGCCTCCTTTCACACCCTGACTCTTCCCAAGAGCAACCGCTAGTGTGAATTCACTTGTGTGCACTGCTGGGCTGCAGGGGCCACTAGGGACCCAGCCAGGCCAGGACCCCCATTCATAGAAGCAGAGCCTATGGCAACAGCCCCCCAAGAAGACCAATGACCAAGGGCCCAGCATCTGCTCTTACCTGTGCTAACTGCCTACAGGACTAGCCACCTTCACCAAAAACAAGAGGACTCCTCTCTTGGGATGCCATCTTCTGGTTTTTCTCTCCCAGCTGCTGGGTTCCTTGGTGGGTTTGCCCTCCCCTAACCTATAGGCCCCCCCCGGCTCTTGCACCTTTCTTTTATCCACCCTCACTCTTCTACTCCCCTGGCTTTAAATAACATTCATCTGTTACTGACACCCACATTTATTTTTATAGCCTCAACCTCTGCTGAATCTGAGGTCCTGACCCACATACAGGCTGCCTGCAGGTGTCCCATCCAGGTGTCAGGAGGCATCTCAAACTGACATGCCCCAGACTAAGCTTCTGATTGCCCTTCCAGAGCCCCCCTGCTTCTTCCCGTGGCAGCCAAGGGCACCTCTGTCCACCCAGTTATTAGGCCCCTAACCTTGGACTCATACCCACTGCCGATCTGTCTGGAAAGCCTGTCAACTGGCTTGTCTCTTACAGTACATCTCAGGCCCAACACTTCTTTCCAAAGCTGTCACCTGGTCAGCAGAAATCTTTCCTTTCCTCTTCTTCTTTTGTCCACCTGCTATGCCATCAAGCTGTTTAAAAGTCATTCTTTAAAACAAAATCAGGTCATTGTCACTTCCCTGTTCAGATCCCCCACTGACTTCCTGCCACACTCACAACAGCCATGGGTCCAGCCTCTGGCGGCCATTTGACCTCATTCTGCACCAAGGCTCTAGCCCTGCGGCCTTCGTGCTCTTTTCCAAACATTCTGCCTGGACTGCACAGCTACATGCAAAACAATGGAGGTCGACTCCTACCTCACACAGCATAGAGAAGTTGACTCAAAATGTGCAGCAACCTAAACAGAAGAGCTAAAACCTTAAATAAAGCATTTATGGAAAAACGGGCAAATTGTGATCTTGCGTTTGGCAATAGATTCTTAAATACGACACTAAAAGCATAAACAACAAAGGGGGAAATAGATAAACTGGATTTTGTCTGAATTAAAAACTATTGAGTACCAAAGGGCATGACCAAGGAAGCGAAAGAACAACATACAGAATGGGAGAAAATACTTGCAAATCACATATGAAGAACATATGACGTACTCTTAGAACTCAATAACAACCAGTCCAGTTAAAAATGGACATAGGATCTAAATAGACACTTTTGCAAAAAAAGATATACAAATGCTCAAGAAGCACACAAAATGATGCTCAACATGGTTAGTCAATAAGCAAATGCAAATTAAAACCAAGAGATAAACATTTCACATTGAATAGGATGGCTGTAATTAGACTAATACTTTAAAAATCATGCTGGGTATGGTAGCGCATGCCTGTAATCCCAGAGACTTGGGAGGCTGAGGCAGGAGGATCACAAGTTTGAGACCAATCTCAGCAAGTTATCCAAGACCCTGTCTCAAAATAAAAAATAAAAAGGACTGGGGATGTGGCTCAGTAATTAAGTGCCTCTGGATTTAATCCCTGGTACCAAACAAAAAAAACAAACAACCCCCCCCCCCACCACACCAAAACAACCAATCAGACATAACAGGGAGGGAGGAAGTGCTGAGGAATGATAGTGGCCAAATTATATTGTGCATGTGAAAATATGTAATAAGAAATCCCATCATTACACGCAACTATAATGTACCAATAAAAATTGTGGAAAAATGAAACAAAATAAACTGCAATAAGTAAATAATAATAAACAAACAAATAAATAAATAGCTATCTATCTCAGAAGTAAGTGTTGGTGAGAAGGCAGAAAAATCAGAACACTCATATGTTGCTAGTGGGAATGGTAAATGGTGTGGCCATTGTGGAAAACAGGTAGCTCCTTAATTAACCAGACAGAATTACCATAAAATCCAGCAAATCCACTCCTGGATCTATGTACACATCCCTCCAAAGAACCAAAAACTGGCCCTTGAACAAACACTCATGCACGAATGCTTACGACAGCACTGCTGTAAGAGGGCTGAAACCCAAATGTCCACCAACAGGTACATGGAAAAAACCAATGTGGGACATCTATTGAATGGAGCATGATTCAGCCACAAAGAGAAATACTGATACCTGACAGCATTCTGCTAAGTGAAAGAAGCAAGTCCCAAAGGCACATACTGTATGTCCATTTTTATGAAATTTCTAGAATAGATCAATCCACAGGGATAGAGAGCAAATTGTGGTTGCCACAGGCTGGGGGAAGGCAGGATAGAGAGGCACTGCTTAATGGGCACCAGGCTTCCTTGTGGAACGAGGAAAGTGTTTTGGAGCCAGAGGGGTGGAGGTTCCCCTCCTCTGTGTACCTGACACGGTGAATTTTCCGTTGGTCCACCTTAGCTGTTTCAGCTGTTCCCCTGCCTGGGCACTCTCCAGGAGGTTCTGCGTGGTCTGCCCTCCTCACTTCAGTTCCTGCTCATCTCCTAAAGGCCTTTTCTGACCCCATTTAAAATGTCCCTGCTTTCCATCTGCCCACTCCTCCCTACATAAAGCACAAATTCTTGCTCACCTTTCAAGGCCAAGGCCAAGTTTGACTGCCCCCTTCCACTTCCTCCTCTTGTTCTCCAGCCCTGTACTAAGCCAGAATCCATTGGTTTGATGAGGCTAACTGCTTCTCAAAGATAGAGCAGGCTTCTATTCCCCAAAACACCAGCCCAGAGACCCACTGCCAGACCCTTGAAGGAAGTTTGCTGCTCTCACTGCAGGGATCACAACTATTGCAGCTTAAGGTGTTTGTCCCTCAGGACAAGGCGTCAGTGTAGCTACCGTGCTAACCACCCTGGTTCCTGCTGCTGGCCAGGTGGACCCAGGGCTGTGCAAAGCCAAGCCTCACCTGGAGCTCCCAGAAGATGCTGCGTGTGTGGCGGTGGTAATAGTGTCTCAGGGGAATGTACTCCAGGCCCTCTCGGTTTGTCTTCAGGTAGTTCTCCACATGCTTGAAAAACCACGGCTTGTAGTAATTACCAATGCTATTCAGCTGAAATGACAGAGGCCCTTGTGATCAGCATGTAGACAAATGCCAAATGCCACCAGGGAGTGACAGCGATACGGGCTGCCGTTTGGCACTCCTGGCCCTTTCAAAGCTTTCATGTTGATCGCTGCCTTTGAGACTTGAAAACCAGGTGAGGTTGGGCATTACCAGTGTCTGCCACCAAGAGAGCTCTGTGCAGGTGGGCTCCTTCCTGCCCTCACTAGGCCAGCATGGGGCACCCATCTCATTGCAACCACTGCCCACAGTTCTAATTGACCATGGCACCTCCCTGCTGCCCCTGGACCAAACTCCACCATCCTCTGAGCACAGTACTTCCTCAGACATCCTCATCCCCTGGAGAAGCTCAGCAGTACGAACCAGCACACTCTGTGGTCTGCAACATGCAATTCTTACAGTGAGCCATCTTCTGCAGTTACAGATGGTTCAGGACTCACTGTGCTGTGCACCCTGAGATGAATCAGCTTCTCCACACCTCAGCTCCCTCATCATTCTGGGCAGATGCTCTTGGGGATTGGTGGGGGTGGAGGGGCATCCTGGACAGAGCACAGGCTCTGGGGCTGGGTGGCTGGGGCCAGATATTGTTCAGTCATCCCCTAGCTATGTGACTCTGGACAGGTCACTCTATGAGCCTATTTCTTCATATGTAAAAATGACAAAAATACGTATTTGGGGAGGAGTTCTTTGTGCCTTATAGATAATATACACATATACTCTCACACACACACATGCACACACATGCATGCAGTTGTTATAAAAATAACAACCATCCTTTACATACTGCTCCAATTTGCTTTTTCCATTTACAACCTACTTGGCCGCTTCTGTGCAGGCTACTTAGCCTCTCTGAGCCTCACTTTCTGAACAGGCAAGATGGAGACACTGCTGCCCCCTGGGGTGGTTGGGAGGCTAAAAGAGAGAACAGAGGATGTGCCAAGCCTGGTGCCTGGCCTGCAGCAGGGCTCACCCTTAGTTCTGGCCCCATACAGGGTAGAATCCATTTGCTTGGTGAGGCTCACCACTCCTCCAGGGCAGAGCAGGTCTTTGTTCCTCAAAGTATGGCCCAATGGCTCATTCCTGGCAATGCAGCAACTTGGACCACGCCAAGCAGGGTCCAGCCACACTGGCAGTGGCACCTACTTCATACTGAAGTTGAGACTTGGGGTACCTGGCTACCGGGTTCCTGGTGTCTAGACACCTCAGGCACCTTATGTGCCAGAGAAGCTTAGGAGACAATAAAGAAGCTAGATAGTGTGTCTCTCCAGGAGTGCGTGTCAACTGGGGAGGCCAGGTGGCAGCACCAGCCTCACTTCATTGCTTCATTAATTACAATCATGAAAAAACTGGAAGCAACTTAAATTTCCCACTGCAGGACAGTGGCATTAAATGACAGGCACTCACTCGGTGCAGTGTTCTGCAGAAATCAACTAAGGTGGTGTGACTCACTGTTTCACGGGCAACGCTTACCATGCCCAGTGAGATGAATTTGAAGAGGTGATCACAGATGAAGACAAGACTGGAAAACTCTGTAAAGAGATGTCCAACCTCACGAGTAACTCAAGAACTGCCAAATAAAAAGACCTACTATTTTTAGCCTTATCAGATTGGCAAAAATGAAAGAGTAACACTATCATCACTAGTGCTGGCAAAAATGTAGGGGAAAAGAAATTCTGCTACCCCACTGCCACCAGCAGACATCGAAGTGACTTTTCTGGAGGGCTGTGTGGTCCTATTTATCAGTATTTAATGTGCTCAAAGCCTTAGATTAGGAATTCCACGTATTTGACTCAACTCTACAAAAATGTCTTATTGAAAGGCCAAGGACAGATGTGAGAGAATCTTATATCTTCAGTGCCATCTTACTTGTAGGAGCAAAACAACTTACGCAACATAAATGCTCATCAGTAAACGATGAGTCAGGCTATTTCTAAACAGCAATGGATGCTAAGGAATGAAATCAGAGCACACTCACGTGTGCACACACATACACACAGAAAATGGGTCTGGAAGAATGCACACCAAACCCCCGAGTGGTTACCCTGGGGGTAAAGAGATACCCTTTAACTTTTCTCTTATATATTTCAATATCATCTATCACTTTTATAATTTAACAAGTTAAACTCTATGCATAGAGAAAGACAGGAAATAAATAAACTCTGACATAGAGTTTCTATGTCTATTGTCTTCTACCTGAAGTGGCAGCTGGCTGTGGGTCACATTTACAGATGAAGTCTTTTTTTTTTTCCTTTTACTTATTTCCACCTTCCAAGTCTCTTTAGGAAGGACAATTCAATTCCTTTCTTTTTTTTTTGGTTTTGGTTTTGGTATCAGGGATTGAACCCAGGGTTGCTTAACCACTGAGCTACAATCCCTTTTTATATTTTATTTAGAGACGGGGTCTTGCTGGGTTGCTTATGGGCTTCACCAAGTTGCTGAGGCTGGCTTTGAACTCATGATCCTCCTGCCTCCACCTCCCAAGCTGCTGGGATTACAGGCATACACCGCCTCGCCCAGCTTGGGAGGGACAAAATCCTTTCTAAATGGAGAAAAAATGGCTACTAAAAAATGACATGGTGTAAGTTGAAGGAGTGTGGATCTGGACTCTAAGGCATCAGATCTTGGCTTTGTCACCCTGTGGAAATTTACATCACCTCTTGGAGCTTTGGTCTCCCCCACGGTCTATAAAATGGGGCTGCTGTGAGAAGCAAAGATCACACCTACCAAGAGGGGCCCACAACCCTGGCAGGTGGCAGGAGCAGAAAAGACGGAGGCTTTCATCACTGCCTAAGCCACCTCAGGAGGTTGAGCCCAGGTGGGGTGACCCAGGGAGCAGGCTCAAAGAGGCCCGGCCCAGGCCCCCAGGCCGTCTTCTCCCCCGGGTCTTGGTCTGGGGGCAGAGGATGCCCTGGCCTACCTTGCTGGGTTCTGCTTCATCTGTCATGACCCCTGTCATGATGACAGCCTCATCCAGGGAGTAGAGCAGCCCTTCCACGAAGTGGTTCTCCGGCTGCTGGGACTCGTGGGTGAATTTTTCACAGATGGCCTCCAGGCCCCGCACTGGCTCAAACCGAAGCTTGACATACTTCTTGGCAGGGATGATGCGGATCTCGGCAGCCACCAGGAAGCCCAGGGTCCCGCAGGACCAGGGCACAGCGTAGAACAGGTCCGAGTTTTCAGACTAGGAGACAGAATTGACACACGATGAGAACTTGAACCCTGGACCCCACATCGTGGCATGCAGCCACTGGGAGGACCTGGGGCTGGGGCTGCATTCCTGACCTGTCACTATCTCATATACATCTGAGGAGGAACTTCATAAACTGTACCCAGCTTTCCCTTTCAAATTCCACATGATACTTAACCCAACGCTGCTCTCTACAGTAGGGCTGTTCACTGGGACTGCATCGTCCTCTTCCATTGAGTGAGGAAAGCCCCTGAGCCGTAGGACACCCAGGAAGAAGGCTGTGACAAGAAGTGTTCAGATCCCAAACAGGGACTAAGAGGCAGGGGGCCCAAGCCAGGCTAAAAAAGAGCTGAACCTTAAATAAGAGTCAAGGTAGCCGAGCGACAGGACACTGCCTCTCTTCTCAGCTGGTATGAAGAGTTACCCTGCCTTCCTGTGTCCACTAGATTGGGAGATCCTCCTTCACCCTGATACACACACGCAAAGCCCGTGGGGGGGGCATTGCCTCTTTCGATAGCAAGAAAAGTGAGCCTCCAAGGGGTGGCCTACCTTGCCCAAGGCTTCCCCAAAAGCCAGATGCAGAGCTGCTATGCTCAGGCCAGGCTCCCTAACTCTGGGTCCAACATTCTTCCTGCAGGATCTCATCTGGTCCCGTCAATCTGTTTCTTAATTCACAAATTTCTTGCTTTGACATTTGTCTCAGAGACAAACCGCTGGCCCTTCCTCTGGCCATTCTAACTCAGACTCTTTGATTCTAAAACAGCTCCTTTTGCAAAAGTCCCGCCCTGGTTGCCATTACCAACAGACTAGCGCTGTGGATGCTCTCCTAGACTGGAACACCCTAGATGGCGGACATGGGGGAGGCAGTGGAATAGGGAAGCCAGGGCAGGGACACTCGGTAGTGGGCCAGGAGAAGACTCTGGAACTGCAGAAATGGACCAGCCCCCGATCTGGGCTGCTAGCTGATTGCACCATTCTGATCGTGGCAGCAGAAACTGGACACTCATTGCGTGCCTGTCTCAATGCTAGGAGCTTTGAACACACCACCTACTTATCCTCCTAACTGTGCATCTGAAGCCTAGCCTCAGAAGAGAGGCCAATCCGTAGCATCTGTCTCCTTTCTCTGCTGGTAACAAGTAGGCCAAAAGTGGGGGCCCAGGCAAGTGTTCAGGAAAACACGCCGAAACTGATGGAGGTGCACCTGTCCAAGACCAGAGCTCCAAGCAGGCTGCGAGTGCCTGACTCTGTTCTGTGAGGCCAACAGCTCTGGTGGCTCTCTGAAATATCCCCTTCAAAAGGATCAGAATGTCCTTTCTATCCCAGGGGCTCTGGCCTATGCCAGGACAGATCTGAGGTTATTTAAAGCTTCAATTCTGTCTCATTCCTTAGATAAAATTCTTCAAATGTTTGTGTCCCACAGCCCCTCTAATTGCTTTTAATTACCTCAAAACATCTGACATAGAATTTTAATGCACAGGCCTGACTTCCTTCAGAGAGGCAATCTGGAATGATCCATGGAAGCCTCATTATCTAGGTTTGAGCCCCAACTGTGTAGGATTTACTGTCTGTGTGATGTAGGGCCAGCTTATTAACCTCTCTGTGCATTACTGTTCTATCCATAAAAATGCAGATAATACTAGAACTCACCTTATAGACTGCTGAAGGATTAAATGCCTTTATATATATATATATATATATATATAAAGCATTCGCAAGAGTGCTTAAACACATATAAGGGGCTATATAAATTTTTGTTATTATTATTTGAAATGATAAATCAGGGAGCTACTTCCCTGACCCCAGGATCCCTAATGACCAGAGCAGGCTGGTGTAGATGTCCCCAACTCACTGGCGTGCATCGCACAAAGCTGCCATCGGCCAGGACCAGTTCGTAGGCGGTGCAGATGTGTTGGAACAGGCCATACTTGTGGGATGATGACTCGATGCCTGTGCCCATGATCAAGCCCCCTGCAGAGACACAAGCGTTAGCCAGAAAGAACAGCGAGCTGCAGGTCAGGGCAGAGATGGGGACGCTGACCTAGGGGAGACTTCCCATCTCTGCCATTTTAGATGGACTTAGATGGGAGCTTGATGGCTTGCCCCCGACCAGAGGAGGGATGGGCAGACCCCTCCAGGATGCTCACGACCTGACCTCCAGTCCCTCTCCACCTGGACACGTTCATTTTAAGAGGGACTTTATGGAAAGGGCTGTTGCTAGGTGGGCAGGAAGCCATGACTCATGGGAATGGTTCGAGGAATGGAAGGTGCTTCCCCTGGACAAGAATAGGCTCTAGGGGCCATAAATGCTGTGCAAGAGGGATTAGACTGACTGTGTGTTCCACAGGTCGAACTGGAGCAAGGAGCACAAGTCACAGGGAAGCAGATTCAACCTAGAAATTTAGAAGTGCTGTCTGTTAACCTGAGTTGCTCAGAAATTGGGTGGTGGATAGGGAGAGCCCTGTCATTGGCTTTAGGCAAGTAAAAGACAGGGTGCTTATATGTCACTGACAGAAGAGTGGCCATTCCTGGACCAAATGGAAGGTGGCCAAGGACCCTTGGCTCGGATCCTGAGATTGTCAGACTCCTCTTGCCCCTGAACATGGACTACTTACCCACTGTAAGATCATCAAGCTCAGGCAACACAGGCAGGGTCCAGCCAATGGAGGTCAGTAGGGCAGTCACTTGACCCATGGACACCAAGGGCTCTACACGGACAATCTGTAGACACAAGAAAAGCATCCTGGGTCTCAAGAAGGTGGCCAGCCCTGTCGAGGGCTCTTGCATGTGAAAGTGTCATCCCAAACCTTCCTGAAAACACTCAACGTATGGATTCCTATGCAGTTGTTACAGGTGATCTCTGGCGTTAGGCTAACCAGGGTTGGATTGCATCCTTTCAGATATTTTCCAATGAATGCTTTCTTAATTTTTTTCAAGATAACAGGAAAAACATTCATTTGGAAGATACAACAAAAGTGAAAAAGAAAACAAAAATAATCTGTCCTAGCTCTTCAGAGTTATCAGTGTTAATGATGGAGTGATTTACATGTTTTTTTTTTTCATATATGCCTATATATTGCTATTTTGTACACACACCCTGCTGTCTTGCCTGTTAAAAAGTTAGCACAGTACTGTGACTTATCATTAAATATCCTTGGAAAACATGCTTTTAATGAACATGTTAATATACTGTCATGTGAACTTCTCTGCTTCTAGCTGAGATGGAGCAACAGAGAACAGATTTACACTGCTGTTTGGGGGGAAAAAAAGCATGAAAAAATATATAAAACAAGTTTTCGACATGGTGGACACAGGCCCTGAGACTTAGTGATCCCTGAGACAGGAAGCAAACATGGCTAGCTCTGCGCATGCCCCAGCTGTCTGGAGTTAGGCAGTGTGGGGAAGGGAACCTAGGTGGAGCCCAGTGCACTGAGCTGTGGAGGTGGAGGTGAGAGACCTGGAAGACCAAGGGGAAAGTGTTCGCAGGACAGAGTACTAGGAGGAATGCGTTGCAGAGAGAGCACCTTGAAGAACTGCAAAGGGTGCCGCTGGCTATCAACTGAGTAGGACTGGTGCATTCAGGCAGACAGGACCTGAGGCTGGGGCGAGGCAGGGAACAACCATCAGAAAAGGTAACAGGTAAAGACAGCTCACATGGGGCAGGAAACGGTATCTGTTCCCAGAAGCCAGCCTGGGGAACCTCATGATTCCCAGGGACTTGGACAGAAGACTCAGAATGTTCTTGCCTCAGCAATGGGGAACAATGAACCCCAGGTTAAATGCTGCTGTGGTCCCACCCAACAAAATCAAGACCCAGTGGGATCAAACTGTTTCCAAGTAACTCAGCTGCCTCCTAGAACTAAGCTTAAGACTTACAGGACTACAACACCTAGCACCCAATGAAGTAAAACATCAGAATGTCTTAATGTCAAATCCACTTGACATTTACTAGGCATGCAAAGAGGCGGGAAAATTCCAGCCATAGGGAAGAGAAAAATCACTCAAGCAAAACAGACCCAGAACTGAAACGTGTGTTAGAATTAGCAATCAGGAATACCAAAACAATTATTCTAACTGTATTTTCTATATTCAAATACTTTAGTAGGAAACATTCCAAAGATATCAGAAAGACCCCAATCAAACTTCTAGAAATGAAAATCACAATGTTTGGAATGAAATACACACTGAATGGGACTAATAGCAAATTAGATATTACAGAATAAAAGATTAATAAACTTATTATACAGAAACGATCCAAAATGAAACAAAGAAAAACATTTTAAAAAATGAACAGTTCATCAATGAGCTGTACTGTGGAACTTGAAGCAGCTTAATATACATGTGATCATCTCCAAAGGAGAGAAGGAGGAGACAGAAAAAAAATATTTGAAGAAATAATGGCCATCAAGCTTCTAGATTTGATGAAAAATAATAAATTCCAAACCTAGGAATTATGAAGAAAACTATACAAAGGAACATCATCGTAAAATTGCTAAAAGCCAGTAATTAAGAAAAAAAATCTTAAAAGCAGGCAGATGTAAAAATAAACACAGGAGACACAGTGAAGCAAAGATGAGGGTAACAGATTTCTTGCCAGAAACAATGCAACTAAAAAGACAGTGGAGTATCTTCTTTATGGCACTGAAAGAAAACACCTGTCAACCAAGGGAAATAAATGGTATGTGTACACACACACACACACACACACATCATGGCTGACAAGTATACAATGGAACATAGAGATGGCAAGTACAAGGACAAATACGAAAGGTTCTTCCTGCAGCCCCAGCAACTTAGCAAGGTCCTAAGCAACTCAGCGAGACCATGTCTCTAAAAATATAAAAAAGGGGTAGGGACGTGGCTTGGTGGTTAAGTGCCCCTGGGTTCAATCCCTGATACCAAAAAAAAAAAAAAATTCTTTAATAGATAAATTGACATTTAAAATAATAATATAGTGTGGGGTTTATAACATGTAAAAATATGACAGCAATAGTACAAAAAGATAGAAGGAAAGAAGTGGAAGTCGATTATTGTAAGATGATTATGTACTACATGTGAAATAAGGTAACTGCACTTGAAGGTGGACCCGGGTAAGTAAAATGTGTATCATATACCTTAAGATAGCGGCTAACATAGCAAAACAGAGTGAATAGCTAATGTCAATAAAGGAACTAAGACAGGATCTTAAAATTTTTTCAATAATCCAAAAGAAGATGGGAGATTAAAAAAAGAAACAGAGAATAAAAAATATATGGGATAGATAGAAAATAAATAACAAGATGTCAGATTTAAACATCATATCAATCACATCAAATGTAAATGGTCTTACCACCCCCAGTTAAAAGGCAGAGGTTGTCAGATTCAATAAAAAAGCAAGACCCAGGGGCTGGGGTTATAGCTCAGTGCTAGAGCACTTCCTAGCACATGTGAGGCCCTGGGTTCGATTCTCAGCACCGCATATAAATAAATGAATAAAATAAAAGTCCAGCAACATCTAAAAATATATTTTAAAAAATACATCATTTCTTTTTTTAAAAAATAAATGACAGCGGACTGCATTACAATTCTTATTACATGTATACAGCACAATTTTTCATATCTCTGGTTGTATATAAAGTATGTTGACACCAATTTGTGTCTTTATACATATACTTTGGATGATGATGTCTACCACATTCCACCATCCTTGCTAATCCCCTGCCCCCTCCCTTTCCCTCCCACTCCTCTGCCCTATCTAGAATTCATCTATTCCTCCCATGCTCTCCTCCCTACCCACTATGAGTCAGCTTCCTTATATCAAAGAAAACATTCAGCATTTGTTTTTTTGGGATTGGCTAACTTCACTTAGCATTATCTTCTCCAATGCCATCCATTTACCTGCAAATGCCATGTTTATATTCTCTTTTATTGTTGAGTAATATTCCATTGTGTATATAGGCCACATTTTTTAATCCATTCATCCACTGAAGGGCATCTAGGTTGGCTCCACAGTGTAGCTATTGTGAATTGTGCTGCTATAAACATTGATGTGGCTGTGTTCCTGTAGTATGCTGTTTTTAAGTCTTTTGGATATAAACCGAGGAGAGGGATAGCTGGGTCAAATGGTGATTCCATTCCCAGATTTCTAAGGAATTTCTATACTGCTTTCCAAATTGGATGCACCAATTTGCAGTCCCACCAGAAATGTATGAGTGTACATTTTCTCCCATATCCTTGCCAACACTTATTAAATAAATCAATAAAATAAAGGTGCAGCAACAACTAAAAAAAAGATATTTAAAAAATACATCATTTCTTAAAAAAAAAAATCAAGGCCCAGGGCTGGGGTTGTGGCTCAGTGGGGGAGCTCTTGCCTAGCATGCATGAGGTGCTCGGTTTGATCCCCAGCACCACATATAAATGAAGAAATAAAGGTATTGTGATCACCCACAACTAAAATATATATATATATATATATATATATATATATATATATATATATATACATACATACATACATACATATATATATATGTATTAAAAAAAAAAGCAAGACCCAACAACATGTTGCCTACAAGAGGAAATACCCTTTAAAGATAAGAGACATTAGTCAAATGAAAACTGGGGTGGTTTGTTTTTTTAATATCAAAGTAGATTTCAGAACAAAGAATATAGAAGGGTTATAAAAGTTAATTTCATAATGAAAAAGGGATTGATTAATCAAAGACCCAAAAAATATTAAATATGCTTATACTTAATAACAGAACGTCCAAATACATGAAGCAGAAATTGATAGAACTATAAGAGAAATAAGTATACAGTTAAAGGTAGAGATTTCAATATCCCCTCTCAATAAATGATAGAATAAATAAAACTTGTTAAGTTCATAGAAGACTTGAATAAAACTACTAAGCAACATGACCTAATGGACATTCATAGAACATGCCATCCCCAAATATCAGAATATATTAAAAAAAATAAGTATGAAACATTTACCCAGATAGAGCATATTCTGGGCTATAAAGGTAATCTCAGGGCTGGGGGTGAAGCACGGTGGTAGAACATTTGCCAAGCATGCATGAAGCCCCAGTTTCCATCTCTAGCAATGTAGAAAAAAAAGTTAAGTCTCAATAAATTGAAAGCATTCTAATCTGAAAGTGTTTCTGACAACTGAATTAAATCAGATATCAGAAATATAAAGATCTCTGGAATATTTCCAAGTATTTGGAAACTAAGTAACATACTCGTATAACCCAGGGATCAAAGCACACGTCAAAAGAAAAATCAAAGTATTCTGAACTAAATGAAAAGAAGATATACTGCGATTTGTGTGCTGTCTCTAAAACAGTGCTTAGGAAAAAATTCATAGCATTAAACATCCCTATTAGATAAAAACAAAGGTCTAATGTATGATTTATGCCGTAACCTTAAAGTATTACAAAAAGGGTCTGAAGATGTAGTTCAGTGGTAAAATCGAGTGCTTTGCATGTCCTGCTTTAATCCCTAGCACTGCAAAAAGGAGAATAAAATTAAAAATAATAATAATAAGGAAAGAAAGGCAATAACAAAGATCACAGCAAGATCTCTATTTCTCAATGAATTAGAGAAAAATCAATGAAATCAAAAGCTAGTTTTTTGAGAAGCTCAATAAAATTGACTAGCCTTAGCCAGACTGATCAGGAAGAAAGGAGAGGACTCAAAAATTACCAATATCAAGAATGAAGGATGTCGCCGGGCATGGTAGCGCATGCCTGGAATCCCAGTGGCTTGGGAGGCTGAGGCAGGAGGATGATGAGTTCAAAGCCAGCCTCAACAACTTAGTGAGGCCCTAAGAAACTTAGTGAAACCTTGTCTCTAAATAAAATATAAAAAAGGGCTGCAGATGTGGCTCAGTGGTTAAGAGCCCCTGGGTTCAATCCCCGGTTAAAAAGAAAGAATGATGTGACAATAGCTAAGATTCTATAGATTTCAAAAGGACAATCTGGGAATATTACAAACAAGTCTGTCAATATATCATACAATTTTGTGAAATGAATTAATGCCTTTGAGAACAAATTACCAAAGCTCCCTTAACAAGAAACAAAGAGAAGAGCCATATCTATTAAAGAAATTGAACTGGTAGTTAAAATGTTGCTCACAACTCCAGACCCAGACAGCTTCACTTAAATCAGATATCAGAAATATAAAGATTTCTGGAACATTTCCAAGGATTTGGAAACTAAGTAACATACTTGTATAACCCAGGGATCAAAGCACACTTCAAAAGAAAAATCAAAATAATAATAATCATTAAATCTCTGAACTAAATGAAAAGAAGATATCCTGCTATTTGTGTGCTGGTTTCTATAAAACATAGGAGAAAACCTTTGTGACATTGGATTAGGCAAAGATTTCTTAAATAAGGCACCAAAAGCATGATCTAGAAAAGAAGAAACTAATGAGCTAGATTTTTATCAAAATTAAAAACTTTTTGAAAGACAAGCCACAGACTGGGAGAAAATATTTGCAAATTGTTGGTTTATAGAATATATAAGAAAAGAAATAACGTGATTTTTAAAAATTGGCGAAAAGTCTGAACAGGCCTCACACCAAAGATATACAAATGGGGCGGGGGATGTGGCTCAAGCGGTAGCGCGCTCACTTGGCATGCGTGCGGCCCAGGTTCGATCCTCAGCACCACATAACAAAGATGTTGTGTCTGCCGAAAACTAAAAAATAAATATTAAAATTTTCTCTCTCTCTCTCTAAAAAAAAAAAAAGATACAAATGGCAAACATGCACATGAAAAGACTCCCATTATTAATACAAACTAAAGCCACAATGAGATATTAGTACACATCTATTAGAATGGCTAAGATTAAGACTAACCATACTGTGCTCTGATGGTACACAGCAATGGGAACATTCACGCTACTGTTGGGAATGCAAAATGCTACAACCCCTTTGGAAAACAATTTGGCGATTTCTTTAAAAATTAAACATATAGAGCCTGGCACAGTGGTGCACACCTGTCATCCCAGCAACTAGAGAGGCTGAGGCAGGAGAATTGCAAGTTTGAGGCCAGCCTGGGCAACTTAATTATGTGAAAAACTAAATGGGAGTGTAGCTCCATGGTAGAGTGCCCATGGGTCCAGTCCCTAGTACCGAAAAAAAGAAAAACATAACGATAAAGAAAGTTAAATATCATAAGCTTCAGCCACTCAACTCCTAGGTATTTGTCCAGGAGGAAGTCTTTATGTGCCTATAAAGAGATTGCTCACTCAAGTTCCTAGTCATTTTATTTGTAATAGTCCCAACCTGGAAATAGCCCATGTGTCATCAACAGCTGAATGGATGAACAAACTGTATATTCACAAAATGGAATATTACAACAGTAAAACAGAACATATTACTGATTTATGCTTTCACCCAAATGAATCTCGAAATAATCATTAAAGCAGCCAAACCTTTCTCCCCCAAAGAGTATATATTATATGTTTCCAATGATATCAAACTCTAAATATGAACTAATTTATAGGGAGAGAAAGCAGACCATGATTTGCCTAAGGATATGGGAGAAGTGGCAGGGAGTTTAAGCCAGGTTTCAAGAAGTAGAATTACTGGTGGGCCAAAGAGTAAGCCTATTCCTAAGACTGTTATAAATGAGTGAGTCTCAAGGAAGCTCATAACAAGGTCCCCTCCTTCCAACACCTTTGTAGCCCATTTTTTTTTTTTACCAGCACATACCAGGTAGGGGTAAACAAATGCTCTTTTGTCTCATCTTTACTCATATTTCCCCATCCTTGATTTTCTGTAGAAATGAAGACAATCAAAGGACGCCCCCACCCCCTTGAGTTCTGAGTTTGCCTTTCTGTGGAATGGGGCTGACCAGTCCCCAAGCTGGGAGGCTTGGGAGAACAGCAATGGTAGACAGAGCTTTTCTTGATGACCATGGGCCTTGGCCCTGTCCACTCTGGGATGCTCTTGGCTAAAACCATCATCTTATGAGTCTGTCCCCGCTCCCAGAGCTAGGCACCCACAGTGCATTCTCACCTGCTTCTTGGTGTCCACCTCCAGGATGTCCATCAGATTGATCATGATGTTTTTGTGTGTCTTCTTGTACTTCCCAACGCGCAGCGAGACAGTGAGCCAGCCGGGGCGCCCAGTGCACATGAACGTCTTGCTTCCCTGCTCCTTCCATTCTCGCACCTGCAAGGTGGGACAGAAGCTGAGCTAGTCCCACCAGGGATTCCCAGAGAGCCGCAGCCTTGTTTCAGGGAGGGAGCTGGCAAAGTTGCCTCCATTCAGGAATTGATTAAGACAGTAAAAGGCCTGCTGGCCCCACCCTTTGGCATCTCCCTGGTTGGCAAGGCTGACAGAAAAAGCTGATTTATTGCTACACCACAAGGTAGAATGAAGACAGAGAGAATACATACTCAGGGTGTTTTGAAAATACTAACTGGAAAGTTCAGGAAAGGTTTCGCAATGGTAATTAGTGCAATTACAACAATGATCACCATTTACCGTGTACCCCCACCATGCTACGTAACTGTTGTATGCAGTCTTTCACAACAATTCCAGGTGGTTGGGATGACTCCCTTTTGCATATGAGGAAACTCAGAGGCAATAAAACTTTCCCAAGGTCACACACGAAATAACTGGCAGGGCTTGGATTTGTAGCCAGGACTGTCTGACAACATGTCTAGGAGCATAGCTGGGCTTGTGATGATAGTCAGAGATCAGCTAACACTTTTGAGGCCTATTCTGCACATGCCCTGTTTTCAACATTCACCCAGGTGAACTCATGACCATTCTGATAGGAACAAAAGGGGAGGAAAAGACCAGAAAGCCAATGGAAGGGACAGCTTTGGTAAAGCCTTGACTATAAGTGACCAGCGTACAAAATAGGAAATGAATGACCCTGATGATGACAAGCCTTCAGGAACAGAGGAGGAGGCATCTGCTCTTGCTGAGAAGGAAAGAGCAGGGGAGGTGGATAGCTCTTGTTCTGACTGGCAAACATTGAGCCCTTGGTCAAGCTGGAGGGTAGGCCAGCCTCTACCGAAGGGTAGAAGGGTTGAATAGGATTCTAATGGGAGGTGACCAACATTTTGGGCAGGGAAGCAATGCTGAGAAAAACACTCTTCAAACTACACAGGACAAAGGTTAGGGGTAGGTCCTTGGAAAAGGGTAACTGGTCAGGCAGTTATTTACAACAACCAGATTTATAGGATGGAATGGAAACGATGGGAAAGAAAACAGACCAAGGGCTCAGGCTCTGAATTCAAGCTAACCAGGATGAGCTTGTCATCCTGGGCACGTAACTCAGGTTGAACCTCCATTTTTTTTCCATTAGTAAAACAGGTATAAGACCTATGAGGGTTGCTGTGAGAATTATAAATAAGGGACATTAATAGCACAGGGGAGTGGGACATGGCAGGTCCAGGGCAAGAGACTGGTTTAGCTGAGCCCTTGTTTTCAGTCCACAGTGCATCCTTCTGTTGAGTTTGAGTTCATAAGCACTCCCCAAGCTGCCTTGGAGTCTGGCCCCAGAGGCCAGAGGTGAGTCAGATAACAGTCCTTGCCTTCCAGGAGCTCACCATCTGATGGGGTAGATCAGCAGGTAAATCAAGAATCCAAACTCTAGGAAAGAGCTGGGGAAAAGAATGCACCTGGAGGGAGGGCAGGCAGAGCTCTTGTGCTGCGACTGCTCAGGAAAAACACTTCCAAAACATTGCATTCTCTCCCACCAGGCCTAAGGTCTCTGCATCTTCACCCTCTTGCCTGCAGCACCCAGCGTGGAACAGACAGAATATAAAGGCTGCTGCACCTGCTACGAGGGTGACAGCAGGAAACAGAAGCTCTCTGCAACCTGATGCCAGTAAGAGAGGAACATAAGAAGGGTCAGAGGGGACCAAGAAACTGCCCAGGCCAGAATTCCAAGTCAGCCCTGAATGTGAAGAAGGTGGTTCCACTGGAGCTGCAGCAAGGTCCCAGCAGGGTGCTGGGAGTATAGGAGTATGTCCAGTTACTGGGAAATGGACTGCTTAGGTCAAAGAGTGAACCCTGGGTCACCAGAGGATGTGAAGCTCTTCACTAGGGCCTTTTTGCTTTAGTTTTCTACTCTAAATGCGTCAAACTACCTTGTTGCTACAAGATAAACTTTAACCTCTAACCTGGCATCAAGGACCCTCTCCAAGGTAGCTCCAAACTGACTGTCCAACCTTATTCTGTCAGCACTTTTCTTTCCCTGCCTTTGCTCACACCAGTTTCTCCACCTAACATAACTTCCCGAATAATTTCCCTTCCTTCCCAGCCCCACCTCCCGGAAGCCTTTCCTCCTCTGAAATGCTTGGGCCTGGTAAGAGTTACCTGACTGTTGCGCACCTTCCCCTCATCTGAGTGTTCTTTATATCCGTCCAGGTACCGCACATACCTTGCACCTAGTGGGCACCCAATAAACATCGGGGCAATGTTTTGTTGCCCCCAAACCTTTCCTTATTCTCTTCCCTGTCCAGAAAGCCCTCATCACAGGTCTGCTTCGTCCAATTCATCCCCCCTCCCCCGCTCCAGCTCCTCCTCCGCCAGATCTAGGGTGCCTCCTGCACCGTTCTAGCCTTCGCAGCCTCACGGGCCGCTATCCCCGAAGCCCGTGGTGCTGGGCCCTGGTCAGGCCGGCGTCGCTCACCTGCTTTTGGATGTCCCGCACGCGCTGCTCGTGCAGGCGCGGCGCGCTGCTGAGCTTGAATACCACCCAGGCGCGCACGGAGTAGTAGATGTCGAAAATGAGCGAGAGCGGTAGGAGGAAGAGGCACACGAACACCCAGCGCTGGTGGATGAGCACGAACTCCAGCCCCTTCACGCGCACCCACAGCAGGAAGAGCAGCGCGCACACGGCCAGCGACACGGCGGGCTCCATGGTGCAGCGGCGCGCCGCGCGGGGAGCGTGCGGGCTCGCGCCGCCTGTCACCGCCACCCGCTCAGCGCCTGGCCGGCTCAGCGCCCGCCGCCACCGCCCCGGGAGCCGGTAGGCCGCCCGCGGCCTCGTGATTGGCTTAGATATCCAAGGTTCGGTGGGCCGAGACCCGGGAGGCGACCAATGGTGAACCGCGCCGGGGATCGGACCAGGAACCCGCTTCTATGATTGGCTGAGGGAGTCGGACCGCTCCACCCTCTTCCCGCCGACGCGCGAGGAGGGGTTGACCCGGGCCCGGGACGCTGGTGGGGTCGGCTGCGTTTAGTCGCGCAGAGGGCGGCGGGGACTCTGGTTTCTCGGCCTTGGGGTCTGCAGAGCCTTCCCTCCATTTCCCCTTAGGTGGCGCCTCCTGGAGACGCGCGTCGAGCGGTCACGCGTTGGGTTGCCTCCCGAGAGTGGGAGGCGCACCAGGCCACGAGTCAGGCACCCCGCCACCCCACAGCTTCTTGGCAGGTCGTGTCACTCTGGGCGAGCTAGGCCAGCAGGGGCACCTTTTCATTTTTCGAAGTGCTTTCTCCATACATTCATTTGAACTACCCAGCAGTACTAGGCGATGAGTAGTTTGTGAGCCCCGTTTTTTACGCGGGGACCCAGCAGGTAGAGGGTGAAGACCCCGACATGAACTCCAAAGCACTTTTTGAAGTATAGAGGCCACTGCTGACGCCCTTCCACTTTTCCCACCCTTGAGGCTCTTGGGGAGGCCTGAGGAGAAAAAAGGAAGGAAGGAATTCCAGCCAGTATAAATAAATCCTCCAGGGCCAGGGCCCCTTTGCAGGCTCTGGGGTAAGGTGGTGAACAAAGCAGAAGGCCCAGCCCTCCCAGAGCAACCAGGAGCAGCCCCGGTGCCCAGCTGAAACCTAAGTCTGGTGTGATTTACATTTCATCTGGAATTATAGGAAGTTTTTGAGGTGTTTTATTTTGGAAGGCAAACATGACCTACCCGGCCTTCTCTGTCTGGCCCTCCTATCTTTACAGTTGCCTCTTCTTTCACCCTTGCCCTGACACACATTTCTAGGAGGTTCCCTTGGCTGGCTTTCCTGGCTCCTCATTTCAGCCTCTTTGGTTAAGGAGCCACTTCAGGGATAGTTTTCCCATTTCCTTCACAGAGCTAGCATTCCACAGCTCAGACCCACCTTAAGCTACATTTATGGCACTGGTATACCCTTTCAGGTGCTCATAAAATAATGTGCATTATTCTGCCACATTATTTTATAGTTGTCTCTTTATGTGTCTCTACCCCAATAGACTAAGCTGTAGGGCAAACATCATCTTGTTTGCTTTTGTATTTAAGTTTCTAGCACAGTGCTTGGAGCATAGTAGACATGCCAGGATGTGTTGACCAATGGCTGAGTAAAGAATATAGGCAGAGGCTCAAGTATTCAATAGTAATTGAAGTCCAAAGAGTGAGAGGTTGTTTACACTGGACTTGAAAAGGGAATAGTCTAGACCTGTCTTAACATAACGGCTATGTATGGCTACAAGTATGTGGGAAACTCAAATTGAGAAGCCTCAAGAATAAAACACAAACTAGGTTTCAAAGACTTAGGAAAACAAACAAACAAAAAAGATGGTGCAAAATACTTCATTAATATTTCTCATTAATTATATATTGAGATGATACATTTTGATATATTGGATTGAGTAAAGTAGTAAAGTCATTGTCACCTGCTTTATTTACTTAAAAAATTTTTTTTGTTGTAGATGGACACAATACCTCTCTCTCTCTCTCTCTCTATATATATATATATCTATATATCTATATATCTATATATCTATATTTATATATATATATATATTTATATTTATTTATATATATTTATATTTATTTATTTTTATGTGGGGCTGAGGATTGAACCCAGTGCCTCATATGTGCTAGGCAAGTGCTCTACCACTGAGCTAAAACCCCAACCCCTTTATTTACTTTTCTAAGGTGGCGACTAGAAATTTTAAAATTTAATATTTGTCTTGCATTATATCTCTAGAAGCTACAGTCCTGAGGAGGCATCTTCAGTGTGCAAAGGGTACAAAATAGTTCCATCACCTCCAAACCTCCCTCCTGTTGCCTGTTTGAAATCCCACCCAAGCCCCTGGCATCTGCTGCTCTGTTCTTGGCCACAATAGTTTTGTTCTTTCCAGAAGGTCAAATAAATGATTATATGAGAGCCAACCTGGAGCCCATTAATTTTTGCTAGATTCAAAGCTTCTCTCTTTCATAGGGAATCTACACATAATTGTACCTTATTTACGGACTTGATAACTCATGAAAACAGAATATGTAGGAATAGGATATTCTGAGCAATAACTCCTCAGGTTAACTGGGAATTAAGCAAAATCCTTTTCTAGTTTTGTCATATTATAATCTTTATGAAATGTGAGTCTCTATTTTTTTTTCAATATAGACCCTAATGAACACAATTTTTTTAAATTAAGGAGCTCAATAAATACCAGAGTCCTAGAAACAGCATTTTCTTATATTTGTACAGTACAGTTACTGAGATCATTTGGTCTTTACAACCAGCATGAGGGGTGGCAATGCAGAGAACTATTGATCTGTTATTATTAACAAATGGAGACATTAGGACTAAGACTCAGAGGTTAAATGATGTCTTGTTGTAAATAGTGAAGCTGAGATGTAGCTCCCATCTTCTGGATATTTGCATCTGATGAGTCTATTTCCTTGATTATGGTGTGAAACACGTTTTAGTTTCCATTCCGTGAATAAAAGTCAAAGTGTTATAATAGAAGTTCTTGTGTAGTTTGCAGACCAGTTACATCAGAATGCTTACTGAAATGCAGATCCTGGACTCCACAGAATCCCACTGAATCTAACCTTCCAGCAGTGGGGCCCAAGTACCTGCTTTTAAAAAATGGTCTCAAGTTATTCTTATGTGTGCTAAATTTAGGAGATGGGACTGATTATATATCAATCCTGGAATGTCTCCAAGGATTTTACTCTTGTTTTAAATAAAGCCCCATTTGGGGGATTTCTTTTCCCTTACAAAGTGAGGTTTCTACCAAAAAGCCAAGTTTATCCAGAAAACTATAATAAGCTAACTTCTAGATAATCAAGGCTTTTACTCTTATTGCCTTGAGTTTCTCAAGAACTCTTAGAAGTTTTTGAAGTCTCCAAGGCAAGACTTGAATGGATCTAGGGGAGTTGGCTTTCTTATGCTAGTGAATGTCCAGTTATCATTGGACATCCATTCACTCATGTTCTGATGATTTTGGCTGCATGTAACAGAAAACCCTGATTCCAGCAGCTCCAAAAACAGAGGTGCTTGTTAGTCCGCATAACAAATCTGAATGTAGATGGGCCCAGAGTGGTTTAATTTGTTAGTCAGGGGCAGTGTGAAAGATCCAGTTCTTCCTATCTTTTGCCCACTCCTTCTCAGGTTACCTCCCCTGGCAGTAGTGAAAAACAGCCATAGTTCTAGGTGCTGTAGCTGATAGATCAGTATCCAGCAAAAGAAGGGGAATGGATTTGGGGAAGTCAACCATGTTTGCAGCACATTCATTCTGGGATTAATGATGTGTAGGAATTGTGCAAAGTGCTTAGGATATAGTAATGAATTAGAAATCTTGCCCTAACAGATTGTTGTGGAGGATTCAGAGAGATCAACAAGCAATTATAAACCAATGTGATAAGTGCTATGATAAGGAATTATAGGATGCTATAGAAGCACATGAAGGTGTGTGTGGGGGTGTGTGTATGCAGACTAGGCAGAGATGCCATGGGGTGAGTGGGAGTTAGGCAGGTGAAACAATGCATTGGGTTTTAAGGGATAAGATCATTCCAGGAGAGTAATGCCACATACAAAAGCTCAGAGCTATATCAGGGCTAGGGATATAGCTCAGTTGGTAGAGTGTTTGCCTTGAATTCACAGGGTCCTGGGTTCAATCCCCAGCACCACAGAAGCTCAGAAGAGAACAAGAGGATGTGGTATTTGGATAATCAAAAGGAGAGCAACTGGCAGACTTTTAGAAGAGTCATCCCCATGTTTGAAATGATCATTCTGGCTGCAGGAAGGGGAGTGAATCAGGAAAGGTGGTGAGCAGGTGGGAGGCCAGGTAGGAGGACATGATGAAAATCCAGGTAAGAAGTGATGGGCTTATAAAGCTCAGGTGGTACTGGTAGATATGGAGAGGAGATGGACATTAGAGATACTGAAGGGGAAGACAGGAAAAAGGAGGTGGAGCCCAAAATGCTTTCTGGGTGTCTTGCCTGGATGACAAGGTAGATGGGAATGTTTACCAGCAAGTCAGAGAGTAGGTTTAGGGCCAGACTTGTAGGTAGAGTGGGAGGCTGGATGAGTCAGAGGTCTTCTGGTCTGATGCAAAGAAATGATAACCGGACATCATCAGGGTATGAGGAAAGACAAACTGTGGGAGCTCATCTCCTGTATCCCTTCCATTTGGGCACTGTTGTTGTCTTTCCAGAAAGTCAGTGAATCAAACTGAGGAATTAACTACAGCACAGTCATCTCAGAAGGCATCATAGATTTTGAAAGGAGATAATAACAGCTATAACATATTTCACATGAAAATAGTTTTATTGCTTTTTTAATCATGGGATATATTCTTCTAAACAAAGCAAGTTATACAGGAAAGTACAGAGAAGAAAGTAAAAATCATCTCCAATTTCTCATGCAAAGCTAATTAAGGTTTCCATTTTCATGACATTGCCTTTAGACCTTTCTCTGCACCCATATATATGCGTGCATGTGTCGTGTATGTATCTAGTGCATATGTGTGTATATCTATCTATATTTATTTATATGACTTTACAAAATGTTAACTTTACATGAGTTTTACAATTTGCTTTTGAAAAACTTGACAATATGTAACAGCTATTTCAAATGCTTTCTTTGTATTCCAGTGAGTGTGATTGTGTGTTGTATATGTAGGTGTGTGTTTGTGTGTGTACTCGTATGTGACGTATTTTAATCAATCGTCCTATTATTAAAGGACATTTGTTTCCAAAGTTTTGTTATGATGAGCAAAATTTCATTGCAGTTTCCTTATCATTCATGTTTCCCATCTTATGAAATTATCTTAAAATACACAT